ACTGAAATATTCGCAGAGAGTACAAAAGAGACGAAAAACAAGAATGAGACATCGAGGATCTCGTTCTCCAGATATGGACGATATAAAGTAGGAAACAAAGTGCGTGTTTGTTGAAAGTTCTGAAAAAAAAGATCACAATTCTCAACTTTTATGTTCAGAGAAAAAGATTATAAAAGCTGTAAAATATTCCCACCTTGTCCATCAGAAAAGGCTTATTAGAGAAATTTCTATTCGATATAGTTGAGAATTTTGAAACATGATGATAAAAATTCTCGAGGGAGAATTTTCGCTTCTTTTTCCTTTTTTTTCGAAGGGATGCCAAAATTCAGCAATCAAACAAATCAGCCAGGTTTTTGAGATAATAACCCAGAGTAAAACGGTGGGATACCACAATTTAAGCAAAAGGTAGTAACAAATTTTTTTAACCTTTAGAGTACTTGCTCAATAATATATCTAAAATCTGATAAAACAGGAAGCGCTCCTTTTGAGCACAAATTTGCACTTGGCCTCGACGAAACAGAATATCGACAAAAAGCTGAATATAATTACTCCCCACATGCAAATCATTCATTAACTGCAATAGAACAACCTATATGAATTCCTTAAATAGAGCGATCACTGAAACAGATATTTTCAAGATCAAATTAGGGAACTAATCACCCAAACCAATAAACAATCAATTTTTCAAGATGACAAACTCTCCATTACAATGGATGTAATTTTTCAGACTAGCTGAATCAGTCATACTAGGTTATATTAAAATTGATCAGCTGTGAAACCCTAAGTATTTAACACTAGCAGATGTGTAGCTGTGATTCCTGATGAATTTATTATGTTATCAAATATATGATATATGTTGATATATGATATATGTTGATATATGTTGATATATGATATATGTTGATATATGTTCTATATATGTTTGATATATGTTATATATGATATATGTTCTTTTTAGCAGCAGCATTTAACGAGTGATAAAAATTTTTGACTGCCAAATACAGAATCCATACCGTAAAAAAAAAAGGGAAAAAAGAAGGACTTACCAGTCTTTTCAGAGCAGTCAATATAAAGTAGTTTGGAGTATCAAAATTATCATAGTTCTTCAAGAAGAAATTCATAAGTAATTCCACTGAAAGAAACTGAAATAGGTATATTCACGTGAATTATATTCATAAATTAATCAAATTTGCTACTGAAACAACACTAACCTTGTGATAACTCCCATGGATAGCCCCGTGGAAGTTTGCTTACCACCAAACAAATTCGTTTTAACGCATTCTCTCGTCTTACTCGATCCTCACAGTTCATTTCGGGTCTAAAAAAACAAATAAAATCATAGCACAATTCGGGAAATGAAGTAAATTCAAACGGTTATACAAAATTTCAAATACAATAAATTATAGCTTTCTTTCATTTCTAGAATTTTTACGAATTCAGAAGCATAATACCAGAAGTAAGAAATTTAACAGAAGATTAATTAGATCATAAATCTCTTTAAAATGCATCTCCCAATAATTTCATCTCATCTTAATTTCAAAACAATAAAAAATAGGGAGAAGATGAGGAAAAAAAAAAACTAACCGAAATGACTCGACGAATAAGGTAAAAGATTTCCCATGGGATAATTTATCCACCCATTGATTAACAAAAGATAAGTCGTCATCAACTTCTACCATCGTTTCTTTTTCCTCGTTCATCTTGAAAATATGCAAAAAACCTTTCAACAGTCACTGCAGTTGAATAATATTAATTTGTATAACTTTCACTTCCGAAAAATTCTGATATCATCGATGTTTTTATAAAGTCTGAAAGTTACCAAATGTTACCAGGTAACTGCTAATGATTACTAATTTATACATCATAATCATGACTTACGATTTTACCAAAGATCCTAAACCCTTGCATCAAAATGTAAAGGGTGAAAGGAAAGAAAATGAAGAGGAGATGAAATGAAAAAAGAAATTACAAAAGTAAGAGGCAATGCTTTAATTATCATCAATTATCATCAACTGATAACACATTACTTTTTAATATGATTTAGTTAATGTATCATTCTACACCATGACATCTAATGTCTGTCCTAAAAAAGTCCTTTCAATCCTTAACCTAAATGATACTCGATGACCGATCTATCTTGTGATTTAAATCAAAACCAAACGATCAATTAATAATCTGCACAATAATCTATTTCGAATCATTATTGTAAATAAATCATCAAGCTATTGAATGTTAAATTATCATAAATCAAAGTATAATTATTTCAGGTTAACTAATTGTTGTACATAAATTACACAATCTAATTTGTCAAAGATTATACTACAATGTGAGATAAGAGGTGCTTTTGCTTCTTTTTTTTTTGATCGAAATTTTAATTCTGATCATACTTTCACAATTTCTGGCCATACTCTTCATCAATGATCATATTTTTCCCATAATTCTACAAATATTTTCTGTTACTGTATCGTAAAGATTCATACTACTTTACTCGACCTTTGACTCATCTCTCTCTCTCTCTCTCTAAATTTGTTCTCTTTTTGATCACCAAATAATGTTCTAGGCATCCTAGGCTA